TTGATCTTAGAAAACATGGTAATTAATAAGTGAATGCTTTTTGAATGAAGTGGTTTATTTTTATAAGAAATTTTCCATCTATTCAAATCAATCTGATGAAGATTTTCAATCCTTTTTGTTTGTTTCTATCACTCGTGATAATCTATCAGCCGATAAACGGCTAACTTTGTCGGTCAATAACCAACAAGCCGTTTGCTTGTGTATAAATTTAGTCTTGTTATTTATTTGCACTTGCAAATAGGAGTTTTTCATTGCTGGATTAATCAAATCGAATATACGCATACCAGTAAAATTTATTTTCTCAGTTTTAATTTCATCAAAGTTTTGTGTCATTGCCGCATCTTTATCTTCTTCATCCACATTGATTAGATCACTATCAAATTCATTACTTTCCATTGCTTCATCATCATAATCAGATTCAGAATCTGATGAAGAACCTGAATCCGTTGCTAAATAATTGTCCGAATTAATGTTGAATCTAATACTATCAGATATATTTTTACTTAAACCATTAAGTTCACAAGCATTGCATTCATTTAATGAAGGTAATATATTCAAATTACTAACTAGTTCTTTTGCACGGTTAAATGCAGCTAAAATAATATTTTCAATGTTGATTTTATCAATATCATTCTGTTCCTAGTGCTCAGAAGACGCTAGTTACTCCGTTATGAATGAGAGTGTCAGTTTATATTTACTTTTCATTTAATTTACGCGTAAATTAAATGATAAGTAATTTGTATTTATTATAAAGTACATGGTAAATGACACCCTTTCTTAATGATAAGCTTTTTTGCGTGTTATAGAGGTTTCGTTTAATTTCTATAAGTTTTTTTGATACGCATGGAATCTGCCTCTTGAAGTCTTGTGAAGTCTTTTGAAATCTTACGAAGTCTTGTGAAGTCCGATGAAGTTTTGTGAAGTCTGTAGAAGTCTTGTGAAGTTTTATGAAGTTTTATGAAGTTTTATGAAGTTTTATGAAGTCTTATGAAGTCTAATGAAGTCTAATGAAGTCTTATGAATTCTCATAAAGTCTTTTGAAGTCTCATGAAGTCCGTGAAGTCTCAAGAAGTCTGTGAAGTCTCATGAAGTCTTTCGAAATCCAATGAAGTCTTCAGAAGTCTTTTGAAGTCTTTTGAAGTCTTGTGAAATCATTTGAAGTCCTATGAAGTCTTTTGAAGTCTTGTGAAAATATGAAGTCACTGCGACTGAAGTCCGTTAAAGTCTCTTGAAGTCTTTTGAAGTCTTGAAGTCTTGAAGTCCGCTGTTTCCCCCTTGGGTTTACTTCTACTCAATATGACGCAAAAGAAAAGAAAGATTTATTAAAAATCCAATGAGAAAATAGGAATGTAACTGGATATTAGCATAGTCAGTTCGAAAATTTTCTAAACTTATAAGGATTCCGATGCAATTTTTCATGACGATTCTGAATATATTATTGGTTTTCTAATGTGAATAGATTATAATTGACTATTGCCTATTTTTCAATAAAAATCCATGTATCATTTTTTGCATAAGAAGGTAAAATAATCCATTTTATGCATAAAATGCATTCTTAGTGTTTGACATGTACCTTTATGAAAATAGAGTCACATCTTACAAGATTTATCACCAAAACGATTAGCACAATGAGTTCTACAAACTCTGAAAGTTTCATTGAATTTGGATGTGATCACCAGATCATCCCGGCGAGATCTCATTCATACACCCAAAAGAAAACGTTTATAATTAACTTTCTTACTTCCCAATCTCGATCATCTTTCATAATAAAAGTTTTCGCAGTATCGACACGATTCCATAGCAATGCTAAACGAAATTGTTCAAGGTCGCGTTGGTTAATTGTTTGACGCGAACGAGAATCGGAAGACGCTGAGAAAAAAATAATTTTTTAAAAATAAACAGAGTATCAGTACCGTTTACCTTTTAATAAAGCTGTTAAAATCACTAAATCAATATCAGGCTCAACGGGACTTTGTGAATTTAAACTGACAATATTTAAAAAATTTCGTCGTTTATCAATACATGCATAAACTAATTCAAAACAAACGCTTGAATCATCCGTAGGCGTTTTTCTTTCGTTTGTAGTCGGCACATCTTGGAACGGTGTTTGGCGTGGTGTTCTATCACCGTTGATGTTCGGTCCATCACCTAGATGAGTAATTTCATCAAGTTCTTTTGTCAGTCTTTCACGAAGTTTATTTTTTAATTCATCGTAATTTTTTATCATTGAGTTCGACCTAAAGAATTCATAAAGAATTATATACATAGGGCACTACAAAAGTTTTTTTTCACTCGGCTCTCTTAAAAGACGTTTTTGAGCGAAACAATTCTACGTTAATGCTTAGCCACAGGAGTGTTCCGAGGAGGAAAATATTGGGCGGGTCGGCGAATTTTTCGAAAATTTTTTGAGAAATTTTGAAAAATTTTTGGAAAACGTCGACCAAAAAAACAAAATTTTCGAATATTGGGGGAGGGGTTACGCCTTCCCCCATCTCCCCGCTCGGGACATCCCTGCTTACCCATATGTAGACTCATGTGCAAAAATTCAGCCTTAGAAATCTTGCCTGTCGTTACATTTTTGCATTTCTTTCAGACTAAGATTAGAGCATTTTCTAAATTAATTTTGAACTTTTATGAGAACACTTTCGAAGTATAATTTTATATCGCTACTAAATTAACTTAACTTACAAGAAAAACCGTAATCATTTAGTATGAGTATGAGGGGACTTGGTTTCTTTATGTCATATACAAATCAATTTGTTTCATTAATTTCAATGGTGATTTCAACATCGAAGGTGCAGCCCTGTCAGATCACCCTCTAACTGCTGTAACAGAAGAAACTTTTAATGCTGTTTCGACAATAATTGAAGATGATTCTCATTGAAAATAGGAATGGATAGTAGATACTGTAAGCAGTATTTCCACAGCAGTTATTTCAATTAATCTGGTCTGTTTAAAGTTTTACAAAATTTTGTGCTCAATGAGTGCATTACCAACTAATTGATGACTGGAAGTAGTTTCATGTTCAGTTGCAGGGTCGTTTAACAAAGAAATTTGGAGAAGTTAATTTCATCTCGTATTCTGCAATATTAGTAGTGACAGATTATGGTTTTATCATAATGATAAAAATATAACAGAGTAATCGAAAGTTGAAGCCTTACAAAGCAATTAATGTATAGCGAAGGCTTATCAAAACAACAGGATAAACTAATGAAACACGCTCATTTTCTCTAAAAAATCTAGTTTAACGAAGTCCATCCCATTATGATCTAGTAAATGGAAGTCAACCTGTTAATAACTACCTAATACAGATTTCCAAAACTGTTCAATAGCTTAATGCAAGGCCAGCTTTTGATCTCTAAATTTTTTTAATGAAAATGCGAGATCACAGACAGTCTGACTCACAAAAGAATTTTGAGCAGAAAATCACATTGAATCATATCCAAATTCGACATAACCTTCAGCTATAAACTCGTTTGACTTCCAAAATTCAAATACAAACTACATGGAGTTGAACTTAATGACGACAACACAATGTCACATGTATTATAACAAATCATTACCTTCCTCACAAAAGACAATTTTAAAAACCAATTCAATGATACAGTTTAATCGAATATACAAGTGCATTGTTACTGATGACTCATTCCTTGGAAAACTACATTAGAACCAGCTAATAGCAACTCATATATTTTGAAAAGAAAAGATTAGTTCAAATCTCCTGTTTATTCAAAAATATAGCAGTCACATATATTTCATGATAACCTAGAGATTGTAGAAATAATCGAAATTGGATTCTCATCTTAACAAAGAACAAAACCCCAAAGTTCAATTTTCAATTCTTCTAATGTGTTATCACAATCAAACACTTGAGCATCAAAGTTTTTAACCTGTTTAACTCATCTTGAGATATCGCGAGACTTTTCATTTCAGTATTTCTAACCTCTACATCTTCGGAGCTTGCGTATTATTTTTGAAATTTACACATAAATACATATATAATTAGAAACAGATTGTAGTTTTTACGGTTACGATTTGAGGAAAAGTTTCTATTAATCAATGTGTTAAAATAACCATTAAAGAGTTGTGACTAAAAGAATCGTAAACAAAAACAGATGTGAAAGTCTTCACTACGGAGATAAATCTCGGTCTTAACACATGTCTATTTCATCTGATAGAGAATTAGTGTTGCCAAAAGGCCACTTTTTTTCTAGCTTGGCTTGCAGGCTGACTCGGTTTAGCAACCTGACCTGCAGGTCAAACCAGGCCAACTAATGTTTTTGATTATTTTACATCCACTAAACTCGATAACGATATATTAGTGTATTAAAATATCATGCTAGTTTCATTTATTTAATTTATTTCGATATACATAGTCTAATAAAGAGTTCTCATACAAAATTTCAATCAAAACAAGAAGATAAATCATCTTAAGTATTTTTCATGTAAAGAGCGCTTGATTTTTCGAATGGTTTTCATTATATCAGTACTGTTTCACATAATCAGAAAATATAAAATTATGATAAGAAATCTAACATATGACCAGGCATACAACAAAGAGGCAAAAGAAAATCTACAAGTAAAATGTAAGGAACAAGAAATATTAGTAACAACAAGCAAAGACATTTACATTTGATTACTGATTTTTTTCAACAGCACGAATGCAAAGTATATTATCTAATTATTCTAGATCCAAAGAAGTTCTTCTGTCAGTCAATATCGGTTCTGCAATACTAAATGGACGTTCTACTGCAGTACTTGTTGCTGTAATCGAATGAATTTGTCTACTACTGCTGGAAAAATAAATATTACATCAAGTGGCGTAGTCGGGATATTTTAGGAAGGTGGTAGTTTCGCAGCCAAGCTATTTCGAGTGGTGGGTGGCAATAGGCAATTGTAAAATCTAGGCGGGACTAATTTCTAAAAGACTTATTAGCATGTGTCTAGCGACTTCTCGAAGAATTGCTTATTCGTGTTGCCCAAATTTTCCCCCAAACCAAAACTGAAGACCTTTCTTTTTGCTTTTCACTTTGGTTTTTGGGGAGAACTTCCAATCGTAGTAGTGAGTTTCGGAGCCAGAAATCAGAGAAAATATCAGTTATCTTTTTCAATCAAATTCTCTATGAACGAACTTTAACACCAGGAGGTCTTATACATGAATTCGAAAAGCAGAGGATGTTACGCTCTTTAGTCTTCAAAGATGCACAGCTATTAACATTTTTTGGCATAGGGTAGTTGCCCACGCTTTAAAAAATTTGGGTGCCAATGAATTTTGGATTGGATGGCAATTGGGTAATTGCCATCCTCAAGGCTACGCCATTGATTACATCAAACAAACGCCAATAAATTTGGCTTGGCCTGACATGTCCAATATTTTATAGACAGATCAGACCAGACTGAAACTTCAAAATTCAGTCAGGCTTGATGGACGGCCTGGTGACCTCGTAGACAGTTCTTTAGAGAATCATTATTTCTTTTATATTTGGCCAACTACCATTTATGTTTAGAAATAAAAGTATGCTATATTTTCACTAATATTTGCACGCCAATCGTGCTCTCTTGGAATAATGAAAGCTCAACATCATTAGCTTTTTTCACTCCTTAATTACTGCAAAGATAAACACCATCGATCGATGTGTTTAACAACAGTCATTTTTTTAAATTCAAGAGAATATTCAAACTTTTCTTTTTATATTTACGGTGAAGCTCCTTCAGTGTCTTCGAAGTTTCGACGATTGTCATCGTAAAGACGAACTGCTTTGGCAAACAAATTACAACAGCGACCTGTTCCTTCAAAAAAAACAACTGGGATATTATTTTGAACAACTGCTTCATGAACTATACGAAAGAAAACATCGGTTTTATTTTTTTTAAACAAACACCAGTTGTTACCTGTCTTAACAGTAAATGGACCACCTTCAACAACAAGAAGAATAACAGGAACTGGACGTATAACAAAATAAAAGTAATCATTTCATGTTTATTTGACAAGAGAATGAAATTTTATATCAACCTGGCTTTTCTGGACGTGAAGATTGTGATGCTGCTTTACTTGGCGTTTCCATATTAACAGAACATGCAGATCGTGGTGCAAAAAAGCCACCTGAAATAGCTTGTGTAAGTTGAGCACGAAATTCTATTTCACCACCATATTTTCGAGCAGTTCCATCATCAATAAAAATGAATTCTGAATGATTAGGTTCAAGTGGTGCTTCACCGCTTGCATTACTATGTGATTTGGGATAAACTACATTCGATCCACGAACAGCAAGTTGTTCAACACCAGATACACAACCCCAAGTAGCAATACCCTATTATTAATTATCTTTGAAAATAAATATTTTAATTTTACAAATTTAACTTACAATTAAATGAATTGGACGAGAACGATCAGGATTTTGTTGAACAATTTCACCAACAAGTTTCATGATTCCTGTATTCGTTCCTCCAGTAATAATCCAAGCACCTTAAAATAATCAGAAAGTAAGTCTTTTGCAATATCAAGAAAATGGAAATATCTTTTCATTGGGCTAATTCAAGATTTACAAGATCTTGCTTCATTATTTTCATTAAATCTGCTCCAAGAGGGAAACGGCGGACTTCCGGTACTCTCGGAGTACCGGGATTACATCGAATGTGATATGAAATGCGCTTAGTAATTATTGAAAAACCAACTCGAAATTTTTTTGAAAGATGACGGTAGTATGTATGGTAGAGACAGCGTCTAGGGTATGTTCACCGGATGAGACGTTACCTTGTTTTCTTTATCTTTGAAATGATTGAAAGTCTAGACGAACGAGAGAAAGAAAAAAAGAAAGAAACGTGATGATTATATTTTGTCATTTCCATCTTGTTATCCATAGGAATAGCCATATTTTTACTAGTGTTTACTTACTGTGATCTGTTGAAATTAATTTCATGGCTATATTAAAACGTCGTAATAACAGTTCATTACTGCCTGATGATATTCTTTGTCATATCAAGGAGGAAACGGCGTACTTCTTGTACTCGCCGTGCTCCCGATACTCTCGATACTCCTTGTACTCCTGGAGTATAGAGAGTACAATATTGTATAATAGTGCGTACATAAAGCATCAGTTCAGACCGCCTTTAATTTTGCTTCTCACAATGGAGATATTTGTATTGTAACCGAGTTAGACTTGGCATTTTGGCGTCAAATGAAAGCTCTCACTGCCAAACTAACAAGGTTAAAATATTAGCGACCACTGGCGCACTTTAGAGAGAGATATTCAATTTTTACAGTACTCAT